GGAAAGTCACTGTGGATGAGGTGATCCGTGAAGGTTCTGCACAGAGGTAGGATGTTCTAGGGCACTAAATATGTGACGCTCTGAGGCAAAAAGAACTTGGAGTTTTGGAAAGTAATGGAGATGTGTGGGTGGGAAGAATGCCACAACATGAAATTGGATAGAGGGGCTGGCCCAAAACATGGACTACCACAGGCTGTTTTACGAAGTTTTGGTTTTCTACAAATTACAATGAGAAGTTATTCAAGGTTTTAAATAAGAAAATGATAGGAATCCATTCATATTCTTAAAATATCTTTCTAGCAACAGTCTGGAGAATACTACTCCTATATAGTTATGAACACAGGAAGTCATTTAAAACTGAGATAATTGAAGATTTTTGTGCTATCGGCTCATTTGGCTGTCTGCTCAAGACTATGGTCTCCTCAGAATCATAATTTTAAATTACAAAAGAGACTAATTATATTGACAGGGTCATTAGAATATTTTTATAAAAGATTTTAAAGAACATTCATTAAAATATTTAAAATATCAATATTTAAAAATACATGCGATGTAGTTGTACATAGGTACTCCTTTGTTAACTGATTATGTGAGATCTAACAGGTCTATAATCGTAAGGTGTATGAACATAAATGCAACGTTGAGGTGTCTGCAATGAATATAATGTGATTGAAAGTATCTAGTTTCGTCAGCGACCAAGTCACATGTACTGCTAGGGCTACTGCAGTGTATTGTCTATACTTATAATGAGAGGAAATGCTAAATTTCCATTTGAGATGAGTGAAAATTAAAGATGTAAATTGTGTCTATTATTTGAAGTTCACATACCACCCCCTGAATTCTATCTGTGGACCCCTTGGGTAATCCAGATTAATTGCTTTTTATTTACAAAGTTATTTTAGTAATCGCAGAGAGAGAAGACCGCAGTATGAACTGGGGTAGCTGCAGTAGAGCTAACAGGAAGGGAACCAAGCTTGAGATATCTTTGGAGGAAGAATCAATAGGACAGAAATGGAGAGATCTTCTAGAGTTATTGGGACATGTTCATGGAAGAAGTAGGCACAGGAATGTAAAAGCAGCTGTGTGTAAAATGTTAGCAGGGATTGTCAGAAAGCAGGAAGATCTGCTAGGCACACTATTGCTGTGACTCATGATAAGGCAAGCGACAAGGAAGACAGCCACAGGTTAGAAAAGAGAAATGTTCATGAAGATTAAGTCAGGGACACTGAGACTCACAACTCAGTAGCTCAGGAGCTGTGGGACCTGGGGCAAACACTTAATGAAGCCTCCACTTCACATATTTAAGATGAGAATGATAATAGCTTGCGACCCCATAATGTTGTTGTAAGGATTAAATAAGATACCATATGCTCTGACACATAGCAAGGGCTGATAAATATTAACAATTATTCTAATTACTGCTGGGATTCTGACACTCTGTTGGACCATTGCCCACAGGAGATTGCAATCTTGTTGAGGAAACAAGATAAAACACGTAATATATTTTAAGAAGGAAACCATTCAGAATCAAATGTTCAAATATAAAGTTAGGAGCAACTCTAAGTTATTAAATTTTCCTAGTATAGCACTTCCTGTATCATAAAAAGCTTCTGAAAATTCATGCTACATAGCCGCCTGTGAGTGTTGCTAATGAGTAGGAATGAACGGTGCCGGTTCTTTTCGTAACAAATAAGTTTTAGAGATCACTGATTGTCTCTGCTGCCTCACAGCTAAGCTCCTGTTTGGTGTAACAATAACTATTGTTCAGACGAGAAGAAAGAATGAAGAAAAAAAGCGATCTTAATTCAGTCTGAAAGTCTGTCCTTTGTTTTCATTTAGGGGAGCTAAGATATAAACAGGCTGTTTCCTTTCATTTTGTCATGGAAGCACATCATAAAGAATTTCAATTTCAACCTTTGGAACTGGGCCCACATTGGAGTAGTTTATATGCAGATGGCTGTGTCTTAATGGCAACACATTAGGGTTCAAGTTCTTTTTCTGCCGTGTGCTTTGCTGTATGATATTGAACAACTTATATAACCTGCTGAGCCTCAATTTTTCATCTATAAAAAGAGGATAATAATTCTTACCTCAGGATTATTGTGAAGATCAAAAGAGGAAATTTAATTCAATGTCTGGAACAATGTAGGTACACAATAAAAATATTTTTATAAGCACTGTAATGTCTGTTCAAGAGTGAGACTGATTTTTACACACATATCATGTATTGGGTTGACTAGTGCCCCCTAAAATTTATGCCCACCTGAATCTTAGAATGTGACGTTACTTGGAAAGAGGGTATTTGTAGATGTAGTCAAATTAAGAGGAAACTTACCGGATTAAGGTAACCCTAACTGGTGAGATGGGAAATTTGGACACACAGAGATAATGCCATATAAAGACAGAGACATTCAGGAGAGAATTCCATGTGAAAATAGAGACAGAGATTGGAGTGATATGTCTACAAGCCAAGGGACATCAAAGATTGCCAGCAACCACCAGACACTAGGAGAGAAGCATGGAGCAGATCCTCGCTCAGAGCCTCCAGAAGGGACAAACCATGCCAATGCCTTGATTTCAAACTGCTAGTCTCTAACAGAACAAGTTTCTTTTACGTCACCCAGTTTGTGATGACTTGTTCAAGACAGCCTGAGGAAACGAATACACGAAGCGATGCCTATACCTCTTTGTGTCAGTCAGAGTCGGGTAGATGTTACAGTAGTAACAGAAGGTCTCCTACCCTTCATTCTTAGGGGTTTGTAACAGCACAAGCTCGCTTCTCACTCCTACCACATGTCAATCACAAGTCAGCTGCCAGGCCAAGGCTTTCACAGTAGTACAGCGGTGTTGCTTTCATGTCAGCTTCATCGGGGACACTGGCAGACGGAGCAGCCTCTGTCTGGAATGTTGCCTCTATCTGCTCTGTGGCAAAGGGAGGAGAGAGTTCAAAAACTCAAGGGTTTATGGAATTAGAAGAAGAAACTGATTCTCCTATCCAATCAGTAAATCATAAAGTTGAAGTAGGCTTAAGCAACAAAGGCCGGGTGTGGTGGCTCACACCTGTAATCCCAGGACTCCCAGAAGGTGAGGCTGGAGGATGGCTTGAGTTCAGGCATTCAAGACCACCAGCCTGGGCAACATCGCAAGAAAATTTTTGAAAAACCAGCCAGGCATGGTGGCATGCACCTGTAGGCCCAGCTACTGGGGAGCCTGAGGCAGGAGTAACAAAGGTTTAATCAACTCAGCCCTGGGACAAGAAGCAAATCAAGGGTGTGGCCACTATGCCATTTGTTAAAACCTCTGCATCAATTAAGAGGATTCCTTATAAATTATTTTAGTTGGACAAAGTGGCAGAGAGGAAGGGACATGGCAAACTATGCATTGGCTCTTAAAGCTTCTGCCCATAAGCAACCCACATGAATTCTGCTTATGTCTCACTGGCCAGAGCAAGCTCATGTCACTGAGCAAGTTTGATGTTATCATGTGGGCATGTATGTCCCACTTGTAGGGAGAGGCAGTGATTATCTGTATTAATAATATAATTCACCCCAATCTTACTTTAGATTGTCCTTTCAGTAGTTGCTTGAAACGCTTTCATAGTAGTATAGTCGTGTTGCTTTCACATGGAAATGTGTTATATAATGTAATAAATTTGACCCCAAATGGCATTCCCCAGGTTGATCATTTACCTAGTCCCCAGATGTAGCCATAGATGACTTTTAGTTTATTTCCTGAAACTAAATCCAGCCTCTCAAGTAGTAAAAATTTCCTCTGGTGAAGATAGTCAAAGGAAGGTACTATAGTGAACTCCTAACAAGTAGCTACAAATAGTTGTAAGAAATGACAGCATCTGGCCAGGCATGGTGGCTCGCACCTGTAATCCCAGCACTTTGGGTGGCTGAAGCGGGCAGTTCACAAGGTCAGAAGTTTGAGACCAGCCTGACCAATGCAGTGAAACTCTGTCTCTACTAAAAATACAAAAATTAGCTAGGCATGGTGGCGCACACCTGTAATCCCAGCTACTCAGGAGGCTGAGGCAGAAGAATCACTTGAACCCAGGAGGCAGAGGTTGCAGCAGTGAGCTGAGATCACACCATTGCATTCCAGCCTGGGCAACAAGAGCA